AGAAAAAAAGGTTTTAGACCGGTGGGTCTTCGTTTTAGACCGGTGGGTCTTTGTTTTAGACCGGTGGGTCTTCGTTTTAGACCACAGGGTCTTCATTTTAGACCAGTGGGTCTTCATTTTAGACCAGTGGGTCTTTGTTTTACACCACAGGGTCTTTGTTTTAGACCGGTGGGTCTTCGTTTTAGACCACAGGGTCTTAGGTCTTCGGTCTTCGTTTTTGGGTCTTCGTTTTCGACACATCCCACTTCAACTATAATTCCTGGTGTAACTGGTTAATTTTAATAGAAACTGAAGATTGGAAATCTTTAGGTTTCTTCAATGGCTACAACCATATTGTGTTCATTACAGTCAGTAAGGACTTCTTGTGCCAGTGGCATATTCCAAACTACATTCAGTACTACATAAGATGCTGGACACAAGAATGTATAGAGCTGCAGGTTTTCTGTTTATGGAAGTGTGTGCCAGAACCTGATTGTGTTTTACGTATATGTATTTGCTTTATAATGTATTTATCTTTTTTCTGGTTTAAGCTGAAAGAAAATGGGAAAGTGAAGTTTATTGGGATCACAGGATATCCACTAGAAACCTTTCGGTAAGTATAACTTTTGGCTTTTCATTATTGTTATTATTATTTTTTTGATTTTGCTTTTTGAATGATTGTCAATGTACACTGTTGTTTAATTATGCTGCATCAGGCAAGGGTATCATTTATGTTTGTTTATGAATGATAATGCCTTGAAAACTGCCCACATGGCAGCATTGCCTGAAACACACAGTCCCAGGGGCCCATTTCTTGAAAGCCCTAGAAACTTTTTGGGCCAGCAAGACCATTTTTAGATAATTTGTATCTAAAAACAGAGGGGTGTATACACCTGAAACTCCTGGTATGCAGAGAATCTCTGTTCACATTAAGAATATGTAAATAAAACAGCTCTGTAATAACAAGGTTTGAGATTTTGGTACGGCTTTCTGGGTGCAAAAACTTTTCGGGACCTTTGAGAAACAGGTCCCAGGAGTCATAAATAAGTTACAATAATGAGAATAAAAGTCAGTATCAAGAATATCATAACGTGAATAAAGTGTTCAAGTTATCAAGGGTGGTGAAGAGAAATGCCAGTTAAATACTTTAAAAGTCTATTCATGATGAATTCCAAGATGAGCTAGATGTTGAATTGATCAACTGCTAAAGATGGGAAGGTCGACCCAAGCAATTGAGGCCCCCATCTGCTGACAAAGGCCACCTACTCCCAACACACTAACCAGTAACTGCAAGGAAAGTTGCTAATCCCTAACACACCATAAATCCAATGTTAAGTTAGCAACTTTATTGTGCTTCCTGCATTATCAATAGAATCTAATTAGTCTGAAGGAGTCAGGTAATAAATCAAAAACCACTGAGATATATTTGAGCCTGTGACTAATTTTCTTGTTTAGAAAGGTGGTTGAGCATGCAGTTCAAGCATTAATGTTCATTTAAATTTTTTTTTTATAATTTCGGTGAATATGCAACTTTCAACTAGTATGTTTGATTCTTCACTTTATTACATCCCATTCCATTTTAAAACCACTGTTGTTCTTTGCAATCTGATTGGCTCTTAGCAGTGCAATTTATTCACAAATTGCACTATTTTTTTGCTCTAAATTGCTTCCTTTTCCCAGCCAACGAGAATGGAATAGTAAAACAAACCAAAAAATCAGAATTCTAGCAGGGGTTTTGTAAATGTTTTCAGCAGAAGGGCAACTGGTTTTCACAGGAGGGCAAAACTATTTGAAATGAACTTCTTTATAAGAAAATCTTTCTGCCAAATGGTTAAACCAGGTGGGCAAAATTGTTCTCACACCTGGTCAATTTGCCTGGTGCCCAGTCCTTAATGAAACCCCTGAAATTTCTAGGCTTGTTCAAAAGAGCCAATAAAATAAATAAATAAATAAATTACAATGTTTAGAGAGAGAGCCACATCAGTTTTAGCTGGTTTTCATGCAGGTCCTCTATACAGTGGTCAAATTGAAATTTGGAGAGTTGGTTTTTGTAGAGGGAGGAAAACCGGAGAAACCGGAGAAAAACCCTTGGAGCAAGGACAACAACAACAAACTCAACCCACGTATGTGGCCCTGGGCCGGAATCGAACCGGTGCCACATTGGTGGGAGGTGAGTGCTCTCAGCACCACCCATCCCTGCTCCCCAATCAAATTGCAGGAAAGCCAGATGAGTGTAATTTATTCATGAATTGAACTATTTTTTGCCCTAAATCACATGTTTTTTCACATCATCTTTTTTTGCATAGAAAATGAGATGTAAAAGCATGTCTGGTTGTGCTTTTTAATAAACCATCTAATGGATCAATAATTAGTTCTTATTAACCGAGCTGGAGGTCTGTATGGGAGAATCTTGACCGAGGTCATGAGTACAGACTGAGGTCAAGATTCTCTCATACAGACCGACCTAGCTCGGTTAATAAGATGTTTATTATATGGCAAAGAAGAAAACTTTAATTCGTTTAATGTAACTGGTTTGCTGACATTTTGTTTGCGAATGGTGATGAGCTTAACGTTAACCTACCGAAATTTGCTCGTCCTCTTTACCTTTTTTTTGTCATCAGGCTTTTTGGCACTCCCATAAATGAGTGAGAAGAAAATGAAAGAAAATAGTGAACATTTTTGTATTTTAGTTTGCTACTTTTTCAACGCAAAATGAAACCGGTCTAGATGCCAGTCTAGATGGGAAAATCTAGACCATGGTCAATATCGATTTCAGCCAATCAAATTTGTGAATTCGGTAGTTCCCTGTCCTGTGAGACACAGCCATATAATAAAATATAATAATGGTACTGACTAAACTCCTGTATCTATAGTCAGATTATATACAGTATGAGTATTTTTATGCATGAGAGGTTGATTTTCTCTCAGCAAAGTCTTTTGGTATTGCAATCATGTCTTTACAATTGCCTGGATTGTCACAGAGCACAATTATGTTTTCATTTCACTCATCCATCAGATGGGTACTTTCCAGATTTTGGGCATTCAAACATAAAATCAACTTGTCTGAAAATAGGTGACAAACAAGACGTCACCTACTACCAAAACAACAACACATAGCTATTTTTAGTAAAAGGTACTTTATCTGCATATTACTTCATTGATCAATAAACAATACTAACTACTTATTAACCTAGAGTGAGGTCTTTTCGGGAAAATCTCAGACCAAGACCTTGTAATGACTGAGTGATAGCAAGGTCGAGGGTTGAGATTTTCCCGTTAAGACCAAACGCTCAAGGTTAATAAGTTGTCTTAATTGGCTTTTTGTTTTGTTTTTGTGGCCATCACAGGAGAATAATGCCCTACAAATAGCCAATCAGAGCACGTGTTATATCAGCTATAAGAACAAACCATATAATAATGAACATTATTATATGGAGAATAGTGTTTTACTGGGAACTAAACCACTCGTAGATTCCATACGCCACTTCATCCAGGACCCGAGTGGCGTATTTTCCATATGTCACCTTTGTGAGTGTAGTATCATTCAATGAAGTCACGATTCCTGCCTTTTGCTTTTGTTGAATTGGTTTCTTGATATAATAAAAAGAACATTACACGTTGGTTCGAAGATATGAATTTTATGTTCTCGTGGCAAGAACAATATCTCACTCATGAGATATTGTTCTTGCCACTCGAACATAAAATTCATACCTTCTCGCCACCGTGTAATATCCTCTATATATTATTAGTCTGTTAGTGTGGGAGCTGGAAATAGGTTTTTCCTAAACTATATACTAGAGAACTAAACAACAAACACTGATTCATTGTTGATTTTGATCGAAATACTGGGAACCAAAAATCCCTGATTTACAGTGAGCAGAACTCTGTTGTGTATTTATAAGTAGCAAATTGTAGTAGCCAATCTCATGCAACTGAGTATTTGAGCTAAGTGATTATCATTAATTTTGTTCTCCGATTTTTTGGGAATAAACAATGTAACCTTTCATCAGAACACCTGATCACAGGATATAAACAATGTTGTGTTGCATTGCCATGTTCACTGTTCTCTTATTTACTTGAAACCATTCCCTCTATAAACTTCTCTTTTCTCTGCAACCAACATATTCAAGCCTATTTAGGTATTCAAGTGTTATGAGAATGTTCAGACTGCATCAAATATGCAAATTTGGCATTGAAATATGACATGTACAGAGAAATGCTGTCAGCTATGAGGGAGAACAAGCGATTTTTTATGCCTTCTGCATTTCCCGAAACAAGTGCTTATGATTGGTATGGCATATGACAGCCACACAAACACTGTTACATCTCAAGAATTTATTCCACGTAGGCTATTACCTCCTGATCTTTTAAGGCTGAGTTTGACACGGTAAATTTTACTTGTCTGGTCAGACGAGTACTTTGTGGGTTATACTTGTCTGAGCCAAAAACAACTTACAAGTCAATTAGACATTCAGACAGGTGAAAGGTTTTTGCCCTGCAGTGATATCCAGACTAGGTACTGATACATGCACTCCACTCTCATGGTACTCCCTAAAATGGCCACCTCTATACAATAGCTCATTTTGCTGTGAGGTGGCTGATTTAGAGAGGGTTAACTGTATTCTTAAAAGAGAGTCACTTTAATTTTTGTAACTTTTTTAATTGCATAGTGATTTTGTTCTGGATGTCTTTGACTTGTTAATTACCTTTTGACTAATCACACAGGACAGTTTTAGAGAGAAGCAAAACAAACATTGACACATTGTTGACTTATTGTCGCTGTTCATTAAATGACACTGGGTTGCTCAATTACATGGAGTTCTTCAAAGTAAGAATAACTTTTTATTAATATTTCCTGATGGTTGCTAACAATTATTTGGGTGACGTTTGACTCAATGGGGAGCTTAATATAATTAACAAACCATATTTAGCAAGGTGACTAGCAAAGTAGCGAACAAAAGTTTTATGAACATGCATGTACCAGGTATCAGCTTCAATGGTAGTACATTTCTTACCTGGCCTAGCCTCTGAAGAAACAACTTGAAATATCCAAATTCTGCTTATTCCAGGGTGCTAGAGCCACATGCAACAGCTAATTTTTTGAAATGATATGGTGTCTTTAACATAATTATATTCATTTGGAGCTGGTTTTTCTATCAATAGATATACACCTTGGCTATCAAGAGATTTCTAATAACGCAAGGTTTTGCAAAACATTTGAGAATGTAAAACAGCAATACATGTACATTATAAAAAATTGAACGACATTTTGATGACTCCATATCATCGTTATCAAGCTCAATGTATAAGATAGATTTGCTTATTTTATAATTATAGGAAAATAGCATGAAATATCCAATTTCAGTGGTCATGTATTTAAGACCAGTTGGTGTCATAACTGGCAGCTCCCTTAATTTAGTAGGACTATTTAATACTGCATAATGAACTGTTCTTAATATTATGTTAGCTGGAATTTTTTTCTCCTTCACTTCACATGATCATACTCATTGACTACTTTGAGGTCACATGACAGATAACCATACTGTCTTACCTAACATATTTGAACTCTTAACTCTTAAAGACTCCCTCAGCCCTAGACTTAAACACTTAACCCTAAAACTAAAGCTAACCTAACTGGGGTCTGCATGTAGACTTAAAACTGCAACTGTCAATTTTTTTAAAGATTGAGCTTAGGTTAGTTTTTAGGTTTTAAACCAGGTAAGACTCTAGAAAAGTATTAATTTTGTGTAAGCTCTAAATTTAATATGATATGCATTAAATTCTGTTGTTAATGACAAGCTTGTGTGCAGCAATTTAATCTTGGATCTTTTGGCTGTGGTCAGGAATACCCCTTTGTATTGACTTTGTGGGAAATGGACAAGTTATGGCTTGAGGTTTCACAGCATATTTTCTGTTTTCATGTGAAGATGGAAGAGAAATTTGTCCTCAAGGAGATGTATGCAGGCCTTTAAATTCTAAATGTCTTTAATACTGTCTTGTGTTTTATCAGGAACATGGAGTAGGGGTCGTGAATGCCTCCCCCATATCAATGGGCTTGTTGTCAAATCGTGGGCCTCCTTCATGGCATCCAGCTGGACAATGTGTACGTGACAGATGCAAACAAGCTGCTGACTATTGCCAGGTTTGTTATGAGATTAATTAACATATTCACTGGTCCAATTTCCTTATGAATTGGTAATTTGTTGGTAGTATGAGGCTATCAAAGTTGCATGGATCCAGACAGTTCAAAAGCATCTTTCAGAAGTCTTTTGGAAGTCTCTTTCATCCTTGGCAAGGTAAAGCTACAATCAGGGACTAAAGTGTTGAGACACATTTAAAAATGAGATACTTTTAAACAGAGATCCATACATCCCTTGATAGAGGAAACACCTTTTGCCACTAGCCACCCCCACTCCCCAGTCAATGTTGAAACAGGCTTTGTCAATGCTGTCACATGGTAAAAACATCGGAAAATGGAGGGGGGTTGAAATCTGAAGAGTGTAAAATAGGACAAATTACACTTGAAGAGACAACGTTTGTTTAAGGGAAGTGTCTCAACTTTTATCCCTGATTGTAGACTCATTGTAGTTCCATCTCATGGCATGACTGCTCCTTGTCTTAAACTATGTGCAGCATTGCTTGCGGTCAAAATTGCAGAGCCAATCTTTGAAGAATTAGACCTGACTAAGTCATTGTGGGGACCGATTGTGGTGTAGTCTCTGGATATATTACTGTATCAGTGAAACCCACCACTTAACTGTATGTCTTTGGCAGCTACTAAGTAGAGCACATCACAAAATTTTCATCTCTTCAACAATATTATTACTATATGCTGGCTGTACAATCAGTAGATATTCGGAACCTGAGTGACAGTGTGTGGCATTGTGGCCCCAATTTCCTTCGCCACCAGGAAGCATATGCCAACTTGTATTCCTTCAGAACTTGAAGAGGGTGACATCAGCCATTTTTGTACCTTACCCAGGCTAATTGCATGCACCTCAAATTCCTTGAATTTGAAAATCAAAATTCAAGGCCTTGAAATTCTGTCATTGTATGGCTCCTTGAAAATCCTTGAAATTTGAAAGAAAAAGGAACAAGTTGCCAAAGCACCTGACACAAAACTGTCCTCACTGTGGGAGAACTAACTTTAGGAGGCAGTGTGGCCGAGTGGCTAGGATGCTGTGCTTGAAATCTGGAGGTCACGGGTACAAGTCCCACTCTGACCATTAAGCTAGAGTAATGTTTCCCAGTAGACCATAGTTCAACTCCTCGGTCATTTTTGTAACAGCCAAGTGGTCTGCCTCCTGCCAGTTGAGATTTTTAAGTCTATTATGTTTACTTGATATTTGTTTCTTTTAGTTTAAGTGGCATGCCTGTGAACTAGCTAGGTGTAGCTAAGCACATTGACCACCATAAACAAGAACATTTGAACATTTTTGATATTTTATTTGAACTAACAAAGATGTGGACTTGATCAAATCCGGCATGTATCTCGTAAAACATATATATTTCTTAAACCTGACAACATCCTGCCTAGTAGATTGGGAGGTGTTCCTCTATTACATTTAGCTATGAGGAAAAAGGTGTTAGTTTCTAAAGGAACTGTGTGGCTGTTAGCTATTTATCAACTTGGTTAACTAGTGTAACTGTGAGAACTTTCTGTGAAATTTCTACGTTTCAATATCTTGAAATTCAGTTGATTAATGATCTGCTAGACTGAGAGAATTACCTTATAGATAATACACCTTTCCTTACATGGAATTGCTTTTTGAAGGAACAAGGTGTTGACATCTCAAAGCTTGCTCTTCATTTTACCTTGGGAATAGAAGAAGTTCCTACAACCCTGGTGAGCACTGCAAGCTTTGAAAATCTTCAGAAGAATCTTAATGCTGTTGACCAGACATTAACAGACACTGAGGGAAAGTGTTTGCAGTATATCATAGACAAGTAGGTGATCTTTTTGTGACCTGGTGTTTACATGTATTTATTTACCATGATAAGGTACAATGAGTGGGTTTGTACACACTAATTCTTTAGTTGACAGCCGATGAACTACTTTTCATGTTTATGTTTACATTTTACTAAAGTACAAATGTATTATAATCCTTCTGGTATAATCTACTAATTGTGACAAATTTCACTTCACCTGCATTTACACGAGAAACTTGTGTGGTTTGTGTCTGGCCATATTGAGGCACTCCAAACCATTTTATAACTAGTGCTCTTTCTATCCTAAACGATTCTAAGTGACTGACAGTATTCTGTTATTGCAATTTCTTTTGCAGTATTTTCAAACCAAGTGGTAATCTTTCATGGGAAGGTGTGGAAGTTTCCAGGTACTGGCAGAAAATGAACCAACTAAAGCCTGCTTGTCCTCTGGCAATATCATAACAAGAGCTTGCATCAATGTTCTACATTAATTTGAAGTCTAGGGTCATGTATGTTCATTTAAAAGAGGACAGTTAGTTTTTAAGCTGGATATGGACTGTGTCATCAAATTATTTGACATATGTAAATTACATGAAATGTAAATGAATGTCCTATCTAATTTTAATGTGTGGTCAAAAAACAGATTTGAAAGGATGTGCCCTGCTATGTAATAGGAATCATTTCCAGCACTGGACACAGGATTTGGTCAGTTTTTTTAAAAGTGACACTTAAATAGGCAGTTTTCTTGGGTTAAAGATTTTTGTCAGTATTTAGGGGAGTAGTGTTCTGGAAGATTTTCTTTCTTAGGTTGAAATTTAAATTAACTAATGTGTCTCTGATTGATTTATATCCTTGTTCTTGTTAAATTATATTTACTACTTATCAATGTATATTAGGCAAGGAGGCCCAGGGAAGCCAATAAGGCTTATATGTAAAGGACTACCTTAAATATACCTAAGACTTAACAAAAGAATAAAAATGTTGTCATCAGCACACAGAATGATCATAATTTAGGATAAAGCAGTTAAGCAAAACTATGTTAAGCAATGTTGGAACCCTTTTTAAAGGTTTTTGTGTTTCTAATATGTTCTTTCTTCCTTGTTTGTAAACATCTACCAGTCACGCTGATATAGCTCCACCGATGTATGCTTCACATGCCTGGTTGAATGACCATTCCATTGACTTTGACAATGCATGTGTGATTGACAAGGGAAATTTCCGTGTTAGAAAAACTCTGGAATCCTGGCACACAGCAATTTCGAAGCATGCTGACAATAATGCGAAACAATTACCAAGACAATATTCAATTTTATTTTGAACTTCACATTAGCATTTTTACTCGCACACAAGCATTTCTATTGTTTTTTTATTATAATTTTGTTTTTTCACACTTTCCTCAGTATATATTTTAACTTCCGCGCTTTCTATCTACTACTCGTTAAAGACTACAGACTGGTAGTCGAAAGCTCGTTTTAAACAAATTTTTCACCAGAGATTGTTTTTCTATTTTTCCAAATGTCTTATCCTGGTTACTCATCTATTTTTAAATAAGTTTACTGTTGTCACTCATTATTTTTATTTTCATAAGACTCTTGTAAGTTGTTACATATTATTTTAATTAATATAAATAATGTAAAAATAACATGTAAAGATATAAAAATAGTTTAACTAGAGCTTTATAAACTACACTATTTTCCTGAATTTGCATGTAGTTTTTCAAGAAAACTCCTGCTACCCTTACCTTTATTGAATTATCCCTTGGAGAGAACAGGTACTTTCACCTGAAAGGCTGAGTTGAAAATCAGTTACCCAATTTGCCAAAATACTGTTAAAGCTTTTAAATACAGACAATTAAGGAACTGAGTTGACATTAGAGAGATGTCCACATTGCAAACTGAACTAGATGTTGTTTGAATTCTGGTTTCTCTAGGAGCAAGTGAACTGTGTGTTATACAGGTGTCTGCAAGGGGAGCTCCAACTATACCAAAATATTCTATTCAAATCACCATGGTCAGATCTTGAATTTCTTGAAAGCCACTGCCTCTTGTAAGCAACCATGGTCACATTTAGAGTCATGGAGGTTAAAAACTAGGAATGTTATACAACCCTAACCACTATTAGATAACATCAGAAATAGCCCCCCAAAAATATTGTTTCTATAATTTAACAATTAGATCATGAGCTTGAGATATCTATCATGCATAGAAATCAAGAGTGAATATTATCCAATTGTTTTAGTATAAATCTACTAGTCATTCAAGACTTTATCTAAATCCTCTTCACAGACAGCTCAAAAATGCAAAGAAGCAGCTGCCATTTTGTTAGAAACTGAACACTGCTATGCTACTCACTATCTGTCACAGAATAGATAGTGAGTAGCATAGCCAATCAGAGAACAGCATTCGTGATAGAATGCTAGTAGATTTATACTAAAACTTGATGGAAACACAGAACTAGCACAAGCTGTTGATGTAATGATAGTGTGAGCAAAGAGAATTTACATTTTGATGATCAAAGTAACCAAGTTGTTTCCTTTTTTCGTTGCAAAATTATGTAAAAGAAGTAGAAAACGTTCTTCGTGTTTCTATCGAGTTTTAGTATAAATCTACTAGTGTTCTATCATGAATACCGCTCTCTGATTGGCTACACTATTCACTATCTATTCTGTGATAGATAGTGAGTAGTATAGCAGTGTGTGCTTGTTAAGAAAATGACGGCCTCTTTTTGGCATTTTGTGAAGAGGAAGTCTGTCAAGAGGATTAAGATAAAGTTTTAAATGACTTGTAGATTTATACTAAAATGATTAGATTATTCGCTCTCGATTTCTATCCGTGATATCACCCGATATAAATCTTGAGCTCATAATCTAATTGCTTAACTGAAACACCCATGGAAGTTTAAGAAAACTCAAAAAAGTTGTGGAAACACTTGCCTGTCAGCTTGTGTTCCCGCCGCATTTCTTGTTTCTCCAAGCTGCTACTCAAGTTTCTTTTAAACAATTAAACTATGGGCTCAAGATTTCTGGCTGCACCCTCGTCAACTATCACGTATAGAAATTGAGAGCAATTAATCTAATTGTTTTAATTAGTATAAATCTATTAGCTGTTCAGAACTTTATCTAAATCCTCCTCACAGACACTTTGAAAACGCAAAAGAGTGGCCGTAATAATTATTCTTAATAAGTGCACACTTCTAAGCTACTCACTATCTACAACAGAATAGATAGTGAGTATCGTAGCCAATCAGCAAACGGCATTCGTGATAGACGCTAGTAGATTTATACTAAAACTCAATGGAAACATGGTTCAAGTTAACTTTTCTATTTCTTAAATAAAGACCAAGAAATGTGTTTATGAAATCTCCTGGCACTAGATGTATTCTGTGTGTAACTCTGTTCTTCATAAAGACTGACCACTTGTTTAGAGCATAGAAATGAGCATCAATTTGTTGTTGTGTAATCAGATTCGATGCTTTGTAGGTTTGAATCAGAAAATTGTGGGGATCTAGGCATTTAGAGATTTCTGCATGACTCATGCAATCTAGACTACCGGTAGGTGGGTGGACCTCTCAGAAGTGACCCACAATGCGACCAGCTATGTAGACCTGGCATATTTTCAGGTGGTTGCCTTCAGGGGGTTGACCGTATTATATAATACAAATGACATTAAATAGAGCAAATAAATAAATGACCATAGTTCAATGTAACAGGCTTAAATCCTTTGTAGGAAAAAAAAAGTTGGCAACTGGTTCATTTACCCATAATTCTTATGCACCGAAACCTTGACCTTTCCATGAAGGATTTTAAGACCAAGCTAAATAAATATTATGTTGATAATTTAACAACGAAAGCATAAATCATAATATTTAAAATATACTTAAAACACAATAAGTGTTGTAAGGTATCTCTTTGGTCCAAGGTGTTTGTTTCCTTCCTCCTTACAGCATACTAAAAGTAAGGTTTTAATTAGTCTAAGTTGATGTGTACTCAGTGTAAATTTTAATTCACAACACACCTCCCATCATGGATTAATCTATCAGAATTGATAAATAATTGTCCAAAAATACTGCCTAATTAATCTGCTGTACTAATGAACCATAGCATGTTTCGTATGGCATCTCAGATGTTCTTGCACTCCAGTTCATCCTTGATCTTGTTGTTTTAGATCATATTGAACTCTTTGCTGTGTGCTGTCACTGCTAACCAGTCAACTGTTTTGTTGTCAGAGATATCAGGTCTTCTGAATTGTTCGATCTTGTCTTGTGCTGAGTACCATGGCAGTTGTTTAGCTATCCGTTCCATAAGAGCACTTTTTGGTGAGCGACCTTTTTTGTACGGCTGCACGAGTGAGACATCAAAGAACAATGTTTAGCTGAAACTGGCAATGATTGGTCCAATAATAAATTCACAGATTTAGTGCCATAACTGTTAAAGGTCTGTATGTGTACATGTATGCATGGTTATTTAAAACACCTGAGCTGAGAATGCTTGTGTAAAAATTAAACTAGGACAAGAGGAAAATTTTTGTTTTTAGTTTTGTGTCAGTTATTTTAATATAGAGGTGTCAAAAATATCAAACGTAAATCATGAAAAGTGTTTAAAAGTATACTAGGGGGTATGACGTAAAGAATGAACAAACAAGCAAATAGAAATAAGTAGGTTGGGGAGTAACTACCTCGATTTACTCTAAAATATCATTTAACCAACAGGGCAAGTAAATTATGTCCTTTTGTCACTTAAGGTAAGGCATACCCCTTTTTGTAAGATGAGTGCACTATCCCAGTCTGGTTCCTGTTCTTTGTATGTTATCATCTGTTTTCTATACCCGTCTTTGGAATTTAAAAACTCCTGATCTTTGTAGGCTGTAAAAAAGATTCGTAAATATCCTGTTGATGCTTCTTATTTATCACTGACAAAACTATACTAAGTTGAGTGTACAATCATATAATATTATTGTTGATAATAATTTAGATCACTTTTGAGATTCAGGTGCATTTCCAAATATTTCTGAAGGTTTAAATTTCAAAAATTCATAAATTTTAAAAGCATGTTCACTCCTATTTGAAGAGCAAGACAGTTCAATTTTACAATTTCAAGGAGTACTATTCTTGATTTAAAATGATAAAAGCTGGGTCATATCTTTGTTGACTCAGAGTACACAAAGGAAGGCTGCATCCTACTGTTATATGAGATAATGTTTGGGAAAATGAGGCAGGTGATACTTACGATCGTATAATACATTTAATGTTCTGGAGTGGAACTTCAGATTACCAGGGTCATGGTCATAATTAGTGGTGAACTCTGGCAAACCATACTTCTTTGGATTCTCCAGCTGGATTGGAATTAAGTCAATAGTTAATGGACCTTTTTTACCGATGCATAAGCATGAGCAAAATCTTTTGCAACCTCATAAAAATATGGGACCCCAAACTTGCCAATTTTTACAGAGAAAGTAAATCAGCAATTCTACAAGCAGTTTTCTGCATATTTTAGCACCAGGTTTGGTGCTATGACTGAAAAAATAATTATTTTAACCCACAATTTTACATAATACTGTAACCCGTGCATCTGACCTTAAGTGTTCATAACTTTATTATATTTTATGTAGTTTTGAAGTGATACATCATATTACAATGCTCTTATTTGAGGATAGATTAAGTCACTTGACCTGTGATTTGTTGTAACATAGTAGTGATAACCATTGCAATTTGCTGGTATAGTGAGAACAACTAAACCACTTGATAGCTGGTCATTCAGCTGGCTCTTTTAAGAATGCTGATGAAGGCTTAATTTCTTCAGTCAAAACCTCAAAACGTCTTGTTAACCTAAGTGATACCAGCTCACTGCTGAAAGAGATATATTTCAAGCATCCCTGCTCCTGTCATAAGGGGTGTTATTGATATGTGAGCCAGTGAGGCTGGCAAGGCATGCGAGCCAGGATTCTTAACCCCAATAAAAAGGCTAACCACAAGCTAAGTTAACTTAGGCTTACCAGAGTGCTATTTAGACTAAATTAAACAGAGGGCTAGCAGGTGAGTTATTTAGGCTATTTTCCAGCTGCCCAGCAAGCAAGCCACACGAGCCAGTAATCCACTGGTTCTATAAGGCAAACCACCAGCTTACTAAGGCAAATCTTTTTTTTTTAGCCTATAAACTGAAATAGCTTGCATCAGTCAGCTTTGCATGACTCGCTGGCTCTCACCTTGTGCAGAGTCCTGTCGCAGGAGAGGACCCCCCCCCCCTGCCTAATAACTTCAAAGTTAATGTTAGAACATTCTGTGGAAAAAAACTTTGAAAAAGAAATTACACACGTTACTGCTCTGAAAACTCTAAAATCAGTTCAACTTGGCTTCCCATTTTTGTTATATGAATTATAATTGTTATTATAATGAAATTATCTGAAATAAATTAATTAACAATTAAACTGGGTTTACACTATAACAAAATCCAGATATAAGCTTACATGTACGTCTTTTATTTAACAATGGAAGCACTTACTGGTCTGAAATCATCTCCTCTGAAGGCATGAGGTCCTGGTGTCACATAAGGCTCACGGTTGTGAATACCATTCCTGACGTACATAAGTTTAGCTGTGTGAGAGTCGGGAATTCGGAACTGTGTAGAGAACGGTGCTTTGTCTGACACCGAAGGCTGAAGTATTTTTGGTAATTGAATACGTTTGAACTCGATGTGCTGTTTCCTTCTTTCCTTTGCCTTTTTATTCCATTCCTCTTCGTTGTATCCTGGTATCATGGCCTTCCTGCTATTTCGTTTCGGCGGCTTTGGTTGGTAGATTTGAAGTGTGAAGTCAGGGGGGCTGATATCCCATGGAGTTTTCTTCCTCAGTTCTTCTTCACTGCGAACTTTGTCACGCACTCGCTTGGATTTTAAGAAGCAATCGCTTCGAGAAAGAAGCAAATCTTGTGCAGCATTAAATTCACCCTGAGATCGAAAATTAAAACGCAACGCGTCATATCCACTGTTCTTTTGCATTCTTCCTTTCTGTGAAGAACGCCACTTGTTGATTTTTTTGTGAATGGAACGCTCGGAAAATTAATTCTAATTAGTTGTTAAATATGTCTTTTACACCTTGTAGTACAAAGTACCTTACAGCTTAGAATACAGAAAAGAAAACAAATGCTTGCTCTACGTGGTATATAGAAAGATGGCCAGAAAGATGAAAATTAGTAATGCAGGCCACTATTCATACTGTTGGTGCGTTGCTATGACAATCAGACCGCAATGAATACTGCATTCCTTTTGCTGGCTGCAGACACCTGAACATAGCATATTTGACGTAGTTGATGTGGGTCTAGCGTCCGTTACCACTTGTGGCAGCGTCCCTTTGTAGTCTTTGTTCTCTGAGTACAAGGAAAAATATTTGCAGAAGATGGAGGAATTTCATAAACGCTATACTCGAATATGTCGAGAACATCATCTATACCCATTAGAGGTTATTTTAAAACACATTCGAATGTGTTCAGAAGGGAATTTGACTTCTGACGATATGACGAAGTTGGATCTCTCATCGTATAACCTAACTCCAGAAGACTGTAATGCGTTTGTTGATGCTCTTACAGACGATCTCTTCTTTGAAGAGCTATCTTTTTCTGACTGTTTGCTGAGCGAAGAATCAAGCAAAATTCTTCTTCGAGGCTTGATGGAGAACAAGGCTGTCAAAAGATTGAACTTGAAAGGAAACAACATTCGCTCTGGGGCAGCGGAAGTTCTGGGTCAGTTCCTGAAGAAAAATACTTGTGTTCGGAGTCTTCTCGTCGAGTGGAACTCTCTTGGCTTGTGGGATAATGGAATGAGAGCTGTTTGCGAGGGACTAGCCGTCAATCAAGTTTTATTATTTCTCGATATGAGAAACAATCAGATCACACATGAAGGGGCTAGCCAAATCGCCGTTGCACTGAAACGTAACCAGTGTTTAAGAGGTCTAGATTTGCGCTGGAATAACATCGGCCTTCTTGGAGGAAGGGAATTGTTGGAGGCTTTGAAGTACAACAAAAGACTTGTAGGATTAGAACTTACAGGTAAGCAGATTCGGTCTTGTAGGAATGCGATATAAATTTACAAGATGTATAGAAATAACTGGATAACGCAGTTCAAGAGTTTTCATTGGCTAATAAGTCATCATGATATGAGCGATTTTAATCCATCAAATATTTTTGCTTGCATGTAATTGGTCTAAATGCATCATGTGACTGAATATTCCCCATCTAAAACCACGCTCAGTTTTGAAAATTGGGGAATATCACCTGGATATTCCCCAATTTTGGAAACTACTTGTGCTGTGAAAAATATCTGAAGGATAATAAATACAATAGCCTCCATTTAGCCCAAAAATATGCTCCAATATTTGTCCTTGGACATTATCTGTTCCTTTAAGCTCTCGGAACAGATAATGTCTGCAGACAAATATCTGAGGATATTTCTGAGCCAAATGGAAGCTATAGTTTATTTTATACAGTGTAGGACATTCCATATACGTGAAGGTGTAATTTTTTTTTTTGGCTTTTTTATTTTTATTTTAGTTTTCTATATTTTGGGTGTGTTTTTAAGAAAAAAATTATTCCACTTATGCTTGTTGGATATGAGATGATTACAGCCAAGTCAGAGCTATGGGCCTTGTTGACTATTTATCATCTCATCCAATGTGAGCTTGTGGAATGATTGCTGATTTATGACAATCCATCAAATATTTTCGTTTGCACATGATTTGTCTAAACTTATTACATTACTCAACATGCCCCAGCTAAAACTTGGGACTGTTTGAGTGACATTACCCATTTGTGTATATTTAATGCAAAAAATGTTTGAAGGATAATAAATGCAACAGCCCCTATTTTACTTTACAAATATGCTCAATTATTTACCCTTGGACATTATCTGTTCCTCGAAACTCTCAGTTTTCCACAAGCTTTACTCGCAGAAAACTGCGTGCTTCTCAGAACAGACAGTGTCTGAACAAAATATTATCCGGGCACATTTTCGTGCCAAATGGAGGCTATTGGTTAATATATATAATGGTAATTGGACTGAGAGGAGTGCAAGTTTGGTCTGAAATCATACTTGTGATGTCAAATCAAACTCATGCCGTGCACTCGTTCGATTTTGAAATCACGCATATGATTTCAGACCAAAATTGCACGACATGAAGTTCAATTGCCACTTTATTACATCCAGTTTGGAATTGGACAATTTTATCGCCTTAAAATTTTAGATTTTTGGTGTATTGTTCCAGTCGCTGGTTTATTAAAAAAAAAGCGGAATGGGTAGCCTGCATAGCAAGCGTTTCCATGGGGTTTGGAAGCAGAGAAAGACCGAGGAGTAGGATTTTCTGTGTTTTGCCGGCGCGGAAAATGGGGCGAGAACTAAAAAAAGAAAGAAAGAGGGGGGTGGGGGAGGTGAAGGAAGGAAATGCTTGCAGACAAACCCCTGGATTTTGGAAATCCCCGTTCGCCAGCGAAGGGGACTTGTGATTGGATGGGCTAGTCCAATATTATTGACATGTGTTGATCAAGGGGAAGATGCATTCAAAGCTTGTTTACAAAACGCTGTAACTTTCCTCACCAAATGAGGATTAGTCGTCAGCTTCGACAGTAGGGTAGAAATCCTGTAGTGCAATGCCAACGCTTTGGTTTTTCGAAGCCTGCACATTATTGCAGAAGCAAGTGTGACACAATTTGCAGCTGTTCCTTTAATTTTAACATCACTTTCTTGAATGCCACATGCACCAAGGGCAAGATAATAAACCACAGGACAGAAAATTTCCACCACTGCATGGGAAAACCTAGTGATTTCGTCTGGCTTGTTACATAGCAACATGTCTTTATAGGTACTCTGACATTTCATTAGAAGGATTTTTGCTGACAGCATTTAGAACCTCTGGGTACAATTCTGAATGATTTGTTTATATAGTGTTAGCTGTGGCATGCCAGTTTTTGTCACATATTTGCCTTACCAAATATTTAATTGTCTTGTCACAGGGAATTCCTACGAGGACATTTCCAGTGTTGGTTCTAAAAACAACTTTGACTTGGAGGCCACCTAGGGGAAGATTATGGTATCTTTAGTTAGATACTGGTCAAGATTATCGTTATTTTCCCTCTTAGATGTTTGAAG